GGCAAAGGCGGAAACATATGGACAGTTTCTTTCACCCAGATGCCCCTGTTCGCCTAGCATTACATAGGTGTCTGGGTGTTAGTCAGCTGTCACGGGTTGCTTCCTGGGGTGTGAGTGTGTGGTGTGGAAAAAAAAGTAGTTAGTAAACAGTTGATTGATAGTTGAGAGGCGGGCCGAAAGAGCAAAGCTCAACCCCCGCAAACACAACTAGGTGAATACAACTAGGTGAATACACACACACACACACATAAGTCTGCATATATATGTCCGTACTCGCCTACCTATGCACGCAGGATCGACCTCCAGCTCCTGGACCTTGTGTGACGCTACTGTCTCTCTGCCTCAGGGAAGAGGCGGCATACACACACCTCCAGCCACCACGGGACTCTTCCATCTCCAGCACATCCCATATAAGTGTGAGTCTTCCTCTCGTGATGTGCACGCGTGCAGGCCGGCCGGTAACCATTTGCTTGCCTCAAAATGCAAAGGCTTCGACCCTCGCTTCACGGCTCCCGATGGGCCAGACTAGGTACATATGCAAATGACGACGGAGTGGGAGGGAGGTGGAGGAACAGGAGTGGGAGTGAGGGAGGGGAAGGATATACAGAAGGAGGAATAATGCTCCTTCCTCCTCAAACCTTATCCATATCCTTATTTTACCCTCTCATGGTGATCCATTTTCACCACTACTTCCTATCCTACCCACTACTTTCCCTACCCACTACCTTTTACCACCACTATTCCTTTCCCTACCCACTACTTTCCCACTAATTTCATAATCCACCCGGAACTCAATTTTCAACCCCCCCCCCCAAATTAATCATTCCCAACACCCTCTTTCCATTCCTAAAGTTAATTATTTGTATTTGTAATATACAAGTCATATATATTACAAGTCATACAAGTCTTTAATATATTAAAGTCTACGGTAACCATACACCACATTTAACTAAGAAAATACTTCTTGAGGTTATCTTGAGATGATTTCGGGGCTTTAGTGTCCCCGCGGCCCGGTCCTCGACCAGGCCTCCACCCCCAGGAAGCAGCCCGTGACAGCTGACTAACTCCCAGGTACCTATTTACTGCTAGGTAACAGGGGCATTCAGGGTGAAAGAAACTTTGCCCATTTGTTTCTGCCTCGTGCGGGAATCGAACCCGCGCCACAGAATTACGAGTCCTGCGCGCTATCCACCAGGCTACGAGGCCTTGAGGATATTACGCGCAAATTATAATTACCTTTAATGTGTGCTGGTTATTTTGCTTTCAAACAGCAAGAAACAAGATAGTGGCGGTTTATTATACAACACACAGACAAAATATACAAGTCCCACAGGATATGGATTACTTTGTCATAAATCGTTTTCTCTAATGCCGTTATGTATTCGTTTTCTATGAAAGGAGAGAGAGTTTAAGGACAGACGAAAAAGTAACTTCAAAATGCGTTACAATAGAGACAGGATTGTCTAAAGTAATACAGACCTAATCATTATTCCTGTGAATTGCATCACTTTAATTTGAAGGCAAACATTGCATAAAGATTACAAGAAAAATTGGAATCCATTAAGAATAATGAACTCAAAATACGTTTGTATTTGAAAATAATTACGGAAATTTTGTTTAACTGTATTTTCCGTTTAAAAAATTACTTATAATTCCGTCCAGCGTTCAATACGTAGATAACTTACTGGACACAGCGATCCTAAACACAGCAGCCCTTGCCCGGGTTCGATTCCAGCTAGACCTTACCTCACCTTACGACAACGATTGGTAGATTAATAGATCTACACCTACATTACTTAGTAGACCTACATCTTACATTCCTTGGTACAGCTATCAATTGTGCTAAAAAAAGCCTGGCAAGGAAGCAGTACTGAGATGCCACGAGTCTTCTTCACCACGGGAGGGGGACAGACACCCTGGAAGCGGACATCCACTCTTAATAGAAGCTGAATCACCATAACCGAACGAGCAAAAGACTTTGGGAGCTACTGTGGAATTAAATGGTAATTCTGTTTCTGTTTATGGTGGTAGTTAGAGGGCGTAGTGAGTAGTTTTTTGGTTTTTAGTAGTCTAGTGTTGAGGAAAGACTTGTAGTTTTATTAGCATTGATGCTAGTGTTACTGCTGGTGGTACTGGTCTGCTGGTGCTACTGTCCTGCTGCTGTTACTTCACTGCTGCTGCTACTGACGCTGCCCTGGCAGTGTGTGTGTAACGCCATATTCTGACACACAACAGGAAATAAAACACTGCTCCGTTGGGAGGTTTAAAATGAGATATAACACACTGTTTCTCTTCATGTTCTCGTTCTCTTTCTGATATACTCTCTCGTACGCCTCTCAGTCGGGAGAGGCGGGACCAAAGAGCCGAAGCTCAACCCCCGCAACCACAACTAGGTGAGTATATACACACACATGTTTATATACACACTAGAGCGTACAAACACACACATACACCCGTGGGTACATACAATCACGCACTTTTAAGTATGCGCACGCACTTTTGCACGCAAAATCGCGCGCACATGCGTTCATAAAACGCCTTAAAAACGGCTTTGGGTCGTCACTTATATTTGCATCAAATAAATACCCATAATTAACAATAACAATTTAAATACATTGCAATTTACTTAATATGTACAATACATTAACTACAATCAGTATCAATTATAATCAGAAAAATGCTTATGTGTGCTGGCCATTGTAATATTACATTTATGTTTAACTATAATAGAAAGTTATCACATCAATAAAGCTGACCAACTGAACCACACTTCCATTTTACTACCTAAGTTGTTCTTGCAACTAGACTTTTAAAGTCAAATCTTGTATAAAAAGTCAATAATTAAAGTTTACGTAGAGGTAAATCCTGCATTTTTACGTCACATATGAAGAGATATACATTATTTAAAACTCCCTACCTCTAACCTAACCGCCTTACCCTAACATCTTGTCTCTACCCTAACCCATACCCTAGCCCCCCTGTCCCTAACTAGCCCCCCTGTATCTACCCTTACCCCTATCCTAACTACCCCCCTTTACCTACTCCTAATAGTCCTATATTAGGACTCTAACCCCCATAGAAGGGGTTTCGTCACTAAATATTTCCACCCAGCCGTTACCAGGACTAATCTTGCCTCGATATCATCCACTATTGTGTAACAAAGTGGTTATCAAGCATTTAAATGAATGACATTAATTAGAGCCTACACAGTATATATAGATATGGCCAACAACCATCATTAAGAACTTAGTAAGTTTCAACGGCAATTGGTTTTCTAAGTGCCTTAAGTTACGTTGCGCTCGCTTGGGGCTTAACTGATGCGACACTGAGGCACTGAGGCAGGCGGTCAGACAGCAGACGAGCCAGGCAGCAGAGGAACCTGGCAGGCAGTACAGACAGGCAAGCAGCAGAGGCAGGCAGACAGGCAAGCAGTAGAGGTAGGCAGGCAAGCAGTAGAGGTAGGCAGGCAAGCAGGCAGCAGACGAACCAGGCAGACAGCAGAGGACCCAGGCAGACAGCAGAGGCAGGCAGGCAGGCAGAAGACGAATCAGGCAGATAGTAGAGGCAAGCAGGCAGGCAGCAGAGGAACCAGATAGACAGGAGAAGAATCTGGCAGGCAGCAGAGGCAGACAGCAGAGGCAGACGCTACTCTCAGCAGCCATGCTAGCAGTCACCAAGGAAGACTTCCCCACCATACCTCGCCTCAAAGCCCTACAGTCATGTCGAGGGACTCAACACAAATACCCAAGAATTATTTAACATTAATATTGGTCGTATCTACGGAGTATTCACCACCCAGAGTATTGAGTACTCTGATTATTTCACGATCCATCACTTCAGAGTTCTTCCAGCGGGAGACAATTATAGTTTCCTCACTTATTCCCGTATTTTGTATGTTTTTACAATTTCCTAATACGTGTTTGAACGTTAAATGAGTTTATTTACCTCTGCATTATGGGGTTCGAGAGGTTTTCGTCTGGTGCCAAAAATTTTAATACGTGTTTTCAGTCCAAATGAAAGTAATATTGATAGATTTTTTTTTTATTTTTTTTTTGTTGTAACTGTCAAGTTTGTTACTTTCGTCTCGTTTGTCCTAATTTAGTTATAATTATTTTTACCTATTTACTCCCATATGTGAAGAGTGGTTATCTCTGGCTTGGCGTGCAAGGTGATTATCAGGAGAAAACACTAAGCCGACTATATAGCACTTGGAAGGAGTTAGGATTAGGATTTAGGATGGGACGGGGGAAAGGAACGGTGCTCAACCACTTGGACGGTCGGGGATTGAACGCCGACCTGCAAGAAGCGACCCCGTGGCTCTACCGTCCAGCCCAAGTGGTTGAGGGGCTTCGCGTGCAAGCTGTGCACATTACGCCTTATGATGCTGCTGATCTTGCGTCTTTGCCTACTCCAAGTTGACCAGAAAGTGTAGCATTATGCTAAATGTGGCAGCAAAGTTAGTATAATTGCCACCATATTTGCATTTATATATTGTGTGGGAAGATGTGTGTTGTTGTATAGTGTGTGTGGTATTCTGGTGTCAGTGTGTATGACAGTGTGTGTGTGTGTGTGTGTGTGTGTGTGTGTGTGTGTGTGTGTGTGTGTGTGTGTGTGTGTGTGTACTCACCTAGTTGTACTCACCTAGTTGTGTTTGCGGGGGTTGAGCTCTGGCTCTTTGGTCCCGCCTCTCAACCGTCAATCAACAGGTGTACAGGTTCCTGAGCCTATTGGGCTCTATCATATCTACACTTGAAACTGTGTATGGAGTCAGCCTCCACCACATCACCCCCTAATGCGTGTGTGTGTGTGTGTGTGTGTGTGTGTGTGTGTGTGTGTGTGTGTGTGTGTGTGTGTGTGTGTGTGTGTGTGTGTGTGTGTGTGTGGGAGCCTTCCAGACATCACCTGACACAGCCACCGACCTGTCACCTGATATATTGATGTCACGGTCATCTTAGACTCCGAAGGACATCACCAAGACTTATATTACTGGCCTGACTTACAGTATGTACACACGACCACTTGTGTGAAGGGTGGCATGGTTAGCTTCTTCGACGACGTCTTGAACCAAGAGTGTGGCTGGTAAGCTTCTTCGACGACGTCTTGAACCAAGAGTGTGGCTGGTAAGCTTCTTCGACGACGTCTTGAACCAAGAGTGTGGCTGGTAAGCTTCTTCGACGACGTCTTGAACCAAGAGTGTGGCTGGTAAGCTTCTTCGACGACGTCTTGAACCAAGAGTGTGGCTGGTAAGTTTAATTCCCCTGCTGATGGTCCTCTACACTCCAGTGGTTCTATAGAGTGGGGCTGTAGAGTATATCTTATCTACTCTCTTCTAGTTACTTATTTGACTGTTATACTGGCTCTACTGTTGCCTTAGTTCCCGTTGCTAGGGACAAGAATGCTGTGTTTACTGATCTACCTGACAGGCCAACTAACAGAGGCATATGATGAAATGAAACTTGCCCAACCACTTCTGTCCTCCCCGGGAACTGAACCCCGGACTCCCCGATTCGTGAGTCGAGGATGCAGATCACTTTCTTAGCTCGGAGCCTTGTGGTGCATGCTATGTTGGGCTGGGTAAGGAATATTTAGGTAGGTAGGTAGGTAGGTAGGTAGGTAGGTAGGTAGGTAGGTAGGTAGGTAGGTAGGTAGGTAGGATGGACTGTACCTTTCCTCTGGTGGGTAAACAGGGCTGCTTACCTTCTGGTCCAGCCATTTTCCAATTCCGTTTACAGATATACACAAAAAACTTGAAAATACTTCAGTATTTCCAGTATATTTTCATTCTAATATTTCGACCTAAGGTTTAACACGCTGCTAAACTCTGAGGTTTATCTTGACCTTATTTATCATGCCTTCTTATCTCCTCCTCTTCTTCTTTATCTTCATCTTCATCCTACTTCTTTTACTCTTCCTCGCCCTCTTCCCTTCTCTTTTTTCATCTTCTCGCCCTACTTATCTAATCTTATCGTCCCCCCCAAACTGCTTTCTCCATTCTCTCAACCGTTTTTCCAGAGTCTTCTCTCTCTTCTCTCTTCTCTCTCTCTCGCCTATTTCTTGACTCTCCCATTAACGACCTTTGCCCTATCCCTCCCCATTAACGACCTGGCTCTCTCCCTCCCCCATTAACGACCTGGCTCCAACTCCCGTCCCTAATGGGTTACCTTGTCATCCTAACAAGATGGAGCCGGAGGCGCTTCCAGCAAGCACGCACGCACGCGCGCAGGTACGCGCGCAGACAAACGTTATGTATCCGTAATAGATTGTCACTCCAGGCGGCGTTCTTGGGGTGAGTGCCACTAATTCTCGCGGATGATATGGCACCGGTTCCACAAGCCCCGGCACGGGTTCCACAAGACCCGGCACGGGTTCCACAAGCCCAGGCACAGGTTCCACAAGCCCAGGCACGGGTTCCACAAGCCCAGGCACGGGTTCCACAAGCCCCGGCACGGGTTTCACAAGCCCAGGCACGGGTTCCACAAGCCCCGGCACGGGTTCTACAAGCCCCAGGCACGGGTTCTACAAGCCCAGGCACGGGTTCCACAAGCCCAGGCACGGGTTCCACAAGCCCAGGCACGGGTTCCACAAGCCCAGGCACGGGTTCCACAAGCCCAGGCACGGGTTCCACAAGCCCAGGCACGGGTTCCACAAGCCCCGGCACGGGTTCCACAAGCCCCGGCACGGGTTCCACAAGCCCAGGCACGGGTTCCACAAGCCCAGGCACGGGTTCCACAAGACCCGGCACGGGTTCCACAAGCCCAGGCACAGGTTCTACAAGCCCCAGGCACCGGTTCCACAGGCCCAGGCACGGGTTCCACAAGCCCCGGCACCGGTTCCACAAGCCCAGGCACGGGTTCCACAAGCCCAGGCACGGGTTCCACAAGCCCAGGCACCGGTTCCACAAGCCCAGGCACCGGTTCCACAAGCCCAGGCACGGGTTCCACAAGCCCAGGCACGGGTTCCACAAGCTCAGGCACAGGTTCCACAAGCCCCAGGCACGGGTTCTACAAGCCCCAGGCACGGGTTCCACAAGCCCCGGCACGGGTTCCACAAGCCCCAGGGACGGGTTCCACAAGCCCCGGCACGGGTTCCACAAGCCCAGGCACGGGTTCCACAAGCCCCGGGCACGGGTTCCACAAGCCCCAGGCACGGGTTCCACAAGCCCCAGGGACGGGTTCCACAAGCCCCAGGGACGGGTTCCACAAGCCCCAGGGACGGGTTTCACAAACCCCGGCACGGGTTCCACAAGACCCGGCACGGGTTCCACAAGCCCAGGCACAGGTTTCACAAGCCCAGGCACGGGTTCCACAAGACCCGGCACGGGTTCCACAAGCCCAGGCACAGGTTTCACAAGCCCAGGCACCGGTTCCACAGGCCCAGGCACGGGTTCCACAAGACCCGGCACGGGTTCCACAAGCCCCGGCACGGGTTTCACAAGACCCGGCACGGGTTCCACAAGCCCCGACACGGGTTCCACAAGCCCAGGCACGGGTTCCACAAGCCCCGGCACGGGTTCCACAAGCCCAGGCACGGGTTCCACAAGCCCAGGCACGGGTTCCACAAGCTCAGGCACAGGTTCCACAAGCCCCAGGGACGGGTTCCACAAGCCCCGGGCACGGGTTCCACAAGCCCCAGGCACGGGTTCCACAAGCCCCAGGGACGGGTTCCACAAGCCCCAGGGACGGGTTCCACAAGCCCCAGGGACGGGTTCCACAAGCCCCGGGCACGGGTTCCACAAGCCCCAGGGACGGGTTCCACAAGCCCCAGGGACGGGTTCCACAAGCCCCAGGGACGGGTTCCACAAGCCCCAGGGACGGGTTCCACAACCCCCACCACCGGTTCCACAACCCCCACCACTGGCTCTCCCAAGAGCCAGTGTCAAGAGTGACAAAAGTGTCAAAAGAGTGTCAAAAGAGTGACAAAAGTGTCAAAAGAGTGTCAAAAGAGTGACAAAAGTGTCAAAAGAGTGTCAAAAGTGACAAAAGTGTCAAAAGAGTGTCAAAAGAGTGACAAAAGTGTCAAAAGAGTGTCAAAAGAGTGACAAAAGTGTCAAGTGTCAAAAGAGTGACACTTGACATACTACAACTGTACAAAAGTCAAAACCAGTCAGCAGACTAATGAACAGAAAGACTTAAGACGTGACAAGAGGAAGAGAGAGGAAGAGAGAGGAAAAGACGGGGCATAGAAAGAGGAGAGAGAGCGACAGAGGAGTTAAGAGAGAGAAGATACAGGCACAAGGTGTCTTGCACTGAAGACTGAAGCAAGAGTCAGTTCAGCAAGGCTCTTGCTGAACTGTTAAGTCCATTCTACCTGTTGATAGGTACAGGGTACAGCAGGGTACCACAGGGCACAGCAGGGTACAGCAGGGTACCACAGGGCACAGCAGGGTACCACAGGGCACAGCAGGGTACCACAGGGCACAGCAGGGTACCACAGGGTACAGCAGGGTACCACAGGGTACAGCAGGGTACCACAGGGTACAGCAGGGTACCACAGGGCACAGCAGGGTACCACAGGGCACAGCAGGGTACCACAGGGCACAGCAGGGTACCACAGGGCACAGCAGGGTACCACAAGGCACAGCAGGGTACCACAGGGCACAGCAGGGTACCGCAGGGCACAGCAGGGTACCACAAGGCACAGCAGGGTACCACAAGGCACAGCAGGGTACCACAGGGTACAGCAGGGTACCACAAGGCACAGCAGGGTACCACAGGGTACAGCAGGGTACCACAGGGTACAGCAGGGTACCACAGGGTACAGCAGGGTACCACAGGGTACAGCAGGGTACCACAGGGCACAGCAGGGTACCACAGGGCACAGCAGGGTACCACAAGGCACAGCAGGGTACCACAGGGCACAGCAGGGTACCACAGGGCACAGTAGGGTACCACAGGGCACAGCAGGGTACCACAGGGCACAGCAGGGTACCACAGGGCACAGCAGGGTACCACAGGGCACAGCAGGGGTACCACAGGGCACAGCAGGGTACCACAGGGCACAGCAGGGTACCACAGGGCACAGCAGGGTACCACAGGGCACAGCAGGGTACCACAAGGCACAGCAGGGTACCACAGGGCACAGCAGGGTACCACAGGGCACAGCAGAGTACCACAGGGCACAGCAGGTTACCACAGGGCACAGCAGGGTACCACAGGGCACAGCAGGATACCACAGGGTACAGCAGGGTACCGCAGGGCACAGCAGGATACCACAGGGTACAGCAGGGTACCACAGGGTACAGCAGGGTACCACAGGGTACATCAGGGTACCACAGGGCACAGCAGGGTACCACAGGGCACAGCAGGGTACCACAGGGCACAGCAGGGTACCACAGGGCACAGCAGGGTACTACAGGGCACAGTAGGGTACCACAGGGTACCACAGGGGCACCGAACATGATGAGTGTGAGGCACAGAACCCGGGCAAAGCTCTGAGAAGCGCCGACGACATAGACAGTGCAGAGGACAGGGAGGAGTACAACAATCAACCTCTTGAATCTAATTTAGGCCTCTTGGACGCCGAGACAGAGATCCCGTCTAACGAAGGGCCCCAGGGCAACAGTGGGAGGAAGAGACAGGAGAGGCGGAAGAGGGTGGAGAGAGACGACGGGGGAAAAGGAAGAGAAGGAGTAGAAAAGGAGAAACAGGGAAGGGAGAAGGGGAACGAGAGAGGAAGTAGAACATAGGACGAAGGTAGTGGAGGGGAACGAAGGGAGGGAGAGAGAGAGAGAGAGAGAGAGAGAGAGAGAGAGAGAGAGAGAGAGAGAGAGAGAGAGAGAGAGAGAGAGAGAGAGAGAGAGAGAGAGAGAGAGACAGAGACAGAGACAGAGAGAGAGAGAGAGAGAGAGAGAGAGAGAGAGAGAGAGAGAGAGAGAGAGAGAGAGGGAGGGAGAGAGAGAGAGAGAGAGAGAGAGAGAGAGAGAGAGAGAGAGAGAGAGAGAGAGAGAGAGAGAGAGAGAGAGAGAGAGAGAGAGAGAGAGAGAGAGAGAGAGAGAGAGAGAGAGAGAGAGAGAGAGAGAGAGAGAGAGAGAGAGACAGAGAGAGAGAGGGAGGGGGAGAGAGAGAGAGAGAAAGACAGAGAGAGAGAGAGAGAGAGAGAGAGAGAGAGAGAGAGAGAGAGAGAGAGAGAGAATAAAACATGGAAACATAAGACGATGAGGATACAGAGGAACAGTATGAGAAGGAACATAAGACGATAGGACCAGAAGGAAGTAATGGGCAAAAGAAAAGAGAGAGAGAGAGTACGATCATGAAAAGAAAAGAGGAAAAAGAAGAGAAGAGAAGAGAAAGTGTTGAGGCTTGTTTGCATTCTTTTTCCTTGTCACCTCCCTTGGTTCTTCACCACCTTGGTTCTTCACCACCTTGGTTCTTCACCACCTTGGTTCTTCACCACCTTGGTTCTTCACCACCTTGGTTCTTCACCACCTTGGTTCTTCACCACCTTGGTTCTTCACCACCTTGGTTCTTCACCACCTTGGTTCTTCACCACCTTGGTTCTTCACCACCTTGGTTCTTCACCACCTTGGTTCTTCACCACCTTGGTTCTTCACCACCTTGGTTCTTCACCACCTTGGTTCTTCACCACCTTGGCTCATCACCACCTTGGTTCTTCACCACCATGGTTCTTCACCACCTTGGTTCTTCACCACCTAGATTCTTCACCACCTTGGTTCTTCACCACCTTGGTTCTTCACCACCTTGGTTCTTCACCACCTTGGTTCTTCACCACCTTGGTTCTTCACCACCTTGGTTCCTCGCTACCTTACTTCTACACAACGTTCTTCCCTACAGTAGTGCACTGATAAATGGAAGAATAATAACCTAGTATTTTAAAAACACAAGAAAACGTAGCCTGAATATTTCGGTCCCAAAACGGGACCCTCTTCAGCAGTGAGCGAGAAGGGAACTATCAGGGGGGAAAGCGCCAAGTCATTACGACTATATAGCACTTGGAAGGGGTCAGGATAAGGGTTGGGGATGGGACGGGGGGAAGGAATGGTATCCAACCACTTGTGGACGGTCGGGGGGGATTGAACGCCGACCTGCATTAAGCGAGACCGTCGCTCTACCGTCCAGCCCAAGTGGCTGGGTGCAGTGAGCGAGAATGACAGCCGTAGCTGCTTTAATGGCGCCAAGACAGGTGTCCTGGGAACAGGAATAAGCATTACTCCGTTTGTTTCGCTGCACGCCATAAAGCAATTAGTTTTCATTGGGGAAGCAGGCAAGGTTGGTCACTAAACAAGTGCGTAATTCAAAGTAAAGCAAGTCTGGACAACAAGACAGTCCCGTAGCACAAAGTAAAGCAAGTCTGGACAACAAGACAGTCCCGTAGCACAAAGTAAAGCAAGCCTGGACAACAAATCAAGCCCGTTACACAAAGTAAAGGAAGCCTGGACAACAAGCCAAGCCCGTAACACGAAGTAAAGCAAGCCTGGACAACAAGCCAAGCCCGTAGCACAAAGTAAAGCAAGCCTGGACAACAAGACAAGCCCGTAACACGAAGTAAAGCAAGCCTGGACAACAAGCCAAGCCCGTAGCACAAAGTAAAGCAAGCCTGGACAACAAGACAGTCCCGTAGCACAAAGTAAAGCAAGCCTGGACAACAAGACAAGCCCGTAACACGAAGTAAAGCAAGCCTGGACAACAAGACAAGCCTGTAGCACAAAGTAAAGCAAGCCTGGACAACAAGACAAGCCCGTAACACGAAGTAAAGCAAGCCTGGACAACAAGACAAGCCCGTAGCACAAAGTAAAGCAAGCCTGGACAACAAGACAAGCCCGTAGCACAAAGTAAAGCAAGCCTGGACAACAAGACAAGCCCGTAGCACAAAGTAAAGCAAGCCTGGACAACAAGACAATACAGACCATTCGGCAATGGAGTGAAACAAAACCAGTTTAAATTGGAACACTCCTGGGGATCGCGCCATTCATAAAAGACTGCAGAGGAAATTCCCGACAAATAGAAAACAAAAAAAGATTGAGCAGGAACTGAAAATTGTTTGCAAGATTACTAGCAACCCAGAGAAGCAAGAACCTTGGTGGACACCGCTGATTGGTTGACACTTGATGGAAAGTGCTGATTGACTCTTAATGGACACTTCTTCACGAGTCCAAGATACTAGACAAAACTATCAGAGATACTAGGCAAGACTGTCTGAGATACTGGACAAGACTGAGATACTGGACTCTCCCTGCTCCAAGAAGACATCTCAGAGGTTCTTAGTTTAAGGAACGACAGAACACGTTAAACTCTGATCATTCAAGTGCTAATTAACCAGCTTTAGCAGTTTTATAATACAATACTGCTAGTTCAAGTGGTAGTTTTGATTGCGGTAGTTGCAGTAACTACTAATATTTATATTTGAGACATTGTTTCTTTTAAGAATATGTTCTTGGTTTGCAGAGTTGCAAAGAAAACGGAAAGTAGGAAGAGAGCCTACAGCTTTTCTATCCTAAAATGAGTCGTTTGAGTATTAACCTTGTAAGACTTTTATACTTATGCCTGAGTTTATTTAAGAAACCTCAGAATAGGTCAAAGGGTTTCCTGCTGAATGTTTAACACGAGGAGAAGAGGAGGAGGTTGCGTGCTGCATGAGCAGACAGCTTGTGAAGCACGAAATGAGACATTACAGTGAGTTATGAGGTTACAAGTCTCTCATGAAATGAGGAACTATGAGGATTCGACACATAGAAACGTCCCAGTGATGTCTCATCTCTCTCCTCATAACCAATAGACTCATACACCACCTAAAGTCTCTCATTTAAATAATACACTAAGCCATACCTTATATTAAATTCATTCATATTCTTTTGCAGAGAGGGAGGTACTTATCAGGGGCAAGCACCAAGCCATTATGACTATATAAATATGAATGTATTTAATCCTAGGTAGCCATTCCTAGGATTGAATGACTACCTAGGAGAAGATCTTTAATATTTGTCTTCACTT